CTCAGGGCCTTCCCCCGGCCGGGGCCGCCCCCTGCGGGGGGGGGGTCTGGGATCGTGGAGGAGGAGCCGGGGACTCCCGACTGGTCTTGGGGAGCTCTCGCTCTCCTCTTGTCCAACTCAGGTGTGGCGGGAGGGGCGGGGGGGATCAGTCGCATTAACGGGGTGAGTGACGTGACACTCCTAGAGAGCCGCCCCCGGCGCCTTGCTGGCCGGGACGGGGACCTCGGGTGCCGGGGCCTCGGCTTTAGGGACCTCCTCGCAGCTCACTTGAGGGAGCGCCTCCGTTCCGTTGCAGGAGACCTTCTTCCCTTGGGTGTGGGAGGCGAAGGGAAACCTCATTCCCGCTCACGTGCTCGGAAAGGCCCGAAGCCTGACCCCCCCACACACCCCACCCGGCCAGCGTTCCCCTGGCCAGGCTGAGGGCGGCCTGGGAAGCCTCCTGGAAATTGAGGGGGGGCACTGGGGAAGAGCCGCTCAGCCGTCCAGAGGGGGCCTCCCCGCCTGTAGTCTGTTCCTCTGGGGGGGGGGGGGGATTTGACTCGGAGGAGGGTCAGGAGCACCTCCTTGGTTCCCACGTGCCATGGCCGGGGGAGGCCTTTCTTCGGTTACTCCCCCCCGCTGTACGGCTGTGGCCCCTTCACGAGGCGTGGCCTTGGGAAGACCCCAGCGCCTTTGACGGGGGGAGGGGGCCAGGGCGGCCGAGGAGAGAGGGAGGCAGGGAGAGAGGCCCGGGGGAGCGATCTCTGCACCCACCTCCCGGTGCCTCCCAGAGTTTAAGGGACGGGGCCTCCAGAGCCCACCAGAGTCCCCTGTGCCCGGGAACGGGCGGGCCTCCCAGAAGTCACCGTGAATGCGGTAGGTGGCCCCGGCGCTCCCCACCGGCCGGTCTTCCTAGGGGCACATAGGAAGCGCGGATCAGGGCCTCAGCGGCAGCCTCAGGTCCCACTTCAGGGAGGTGGTGGGGTGGGTGCGGCCCCCCTTCCGAGGAGCACCTGTGAGCGGAGGCCTCCTCCCGTGCCCTGCCCTGCCCTGCCCTGCCAGGCGGGGAGAGGTCCCTCCCTCCGTCCCCCGCCGGGTCTGCTTGGGGGGGGTCAGGGTGCCTTGCCGCGAGAGCCAGGGCCCCCAACGTTAATAAATAAGCGGCGCTCTCTCCCCCCCCTCTGGCTCTGTTGCAGGAGAGGCAGCTTTCCGCCGTGGGTGCAGCAAACCCGCGTCTGAGCGTCGCTATGGGTCAGCCCTGGAACGGGATCCGACCCGGGCAACCGCCTCCGCCCCCGCGACTCCAGATCACGGAAAATGGAGAGTTTCGCAACACCGCGTCTGAGCACTAGCGACCGACCCCCTGCCTCACCCCACCCCCAGCCGGAGGGTGCCGTGGGGCGGGGGGGCGGTCCGGAAGGAGCCACACGCAGCAAGGGGCCGGGGAAGGGTCCAGATGCATTTTCAGGGTGTTTTATAGCAGGACACAGACGACAATCTAAACCCCCCTCCTCCCTCACGCCTGACCCAGTGCCGGAGCACCTTCTCTTCCGCCCCCTCCCCGAAACAGTCTGGGGGGGGAGGGGGCCTCCTTCCTCCCGTCCTTCCTTCCCAAATATTTCTCAGGAGTGGCATCCCCTCCCTCCCACCTTCCCTTCTCCCCCCCCCCAGGCAGCCATGACACTTTTTAAGGCCGCAGGAGGGGGCCCGGCCCGGTCTTCCCGTCCGCCCCGCCGCCCCCCCACCATCCGTGCTGTTGCTGCTGCTGCTGCTTGCGCTGGGGAGAGCGCTATTGCCTCCGGGGGCAGGCTGGTCCCGATTCCCTTGGGATGTGCTAGTTTCAGCCAGCGGCCACGGAGGGTGAGGGGTGGTTCCGCACCCACCCATCACTCCCCCCCCCCGGCCCTGCCTGGCCTTTCCCAGTGGGGAGGGGTTGGATCAGGCAGGAGGGGGGCTTCTCC